AACAAGCGATCGGGCGTTGGTTTGCCCGACCCCCGAAAATCACAACGCGTTAACGGTCGCGACTTCTAAAAAACAACAGGGAGGTACTGGTGGTTTAAGAAATATGTGAAGTGAGAAAAAAATATATGTTTGTCCTCCGATGAGGAGAATGCAACTGTTTCTTCTTCCTTTTTTGCCCTCAAATTTTGCCCTAATCTATTTGCGGGGAGCTGCACTTGCTGGAAAACGGGTCCTATGTCCCTCACCTTTGACGCCCTCAAATTTTGCCCTAAAGCTTGTCTCAACCATCTTTGTTACCTTCTCACCTTTGTGTCCTATAATAGGGTACAAAACCTCTTCACCCTTTGACGCCAGAACTGAGTGGATCCTGAGCCCTTTAACCGTACTATATTTGACTACAAATCATCATGTGCCACAATGTCGTATTCTTCTTATTCGACAATGTTCAGGCCTGATTCAAAACATAAAACTTTTCATGTTACTTTAGGAACCTTGCTAAGAAGAAAATAGTATTTTTCGAAAAGTTTTGTTTTATACCCCCTAAAGATGAGATATATTTCAAAATGTCCCTAAAAGATTGTGGTCGAGCAAGATACCCTTTGCAGAATACCCTCCAGGTCTTGCCCACTCACTCGCAAGCACTCTCTACCAGACCATACAGACGGTTTGTCCACTCTCTAGCAAGCCCTCTCTACCGGAGCGTACGTCCGTCCGTAGGTCAGCCTCTCATACCGTATGTTAATTTTTCATATTTTTCCTTTCTTCTAATTAATTTTTCTTTTTAAAAATCATTGCTTTATACCCCCAAAGATGAGATATATTACAAAATGCCCTTGAAAGATTATGGTAGGGCAGGATACCCTTTGCATATTACCCTCCAGGTTGGTTGGACATATCATCTTCTCGATATACCGCTACCAGGTACCAAACCAACTTTGTAAAATACCCCGGTAAAACAATTTTTGAAAGAACAATTGATTTTGATTTTACCTCTACTGACGAAGTTCATCTTTTCGTTTTGCTCCCCCCCCCCCATCCCGCCCCACCCAGCCGAGGGGCAACGACGACCATCAACTCTCTCTCTCTCTCTCTCTCTCTCTCTCTCTCTCTCTCTCTCTCTCTCTCTCTCTGTGTGTGTGTGTGTGTGTGTGTGTGTGTGTGTGTGTGTGTGTGTGTGTGTGTGTGTGTGTGTGTGTGTGTGTGTGTGTGTGTGTGTGTGTGTGTGCCTTCATCAAGCGATCACGAAGAGAAAGACAGAGAGCGCAGGGAAGAGGAAAAGAGACAAAGAGACATAGAGCTTACATACGACATATGACATTTTTTGGACCACTGGCAGGTGAATTCGGACGAATCTATCTAGTTCATAGATCATCTTAAAGGATTTTTTTCCCTTAATTTTCACAACAAAAAAAAAGGTAGATTAGGTCATTTACTACCCCTTCGGGGACTCAAGTTGCGCATCTCGGCCCTTCACAATCCCTCGAATGGTTTTGACAGGACATGTTGATCCGGTTCAATGACCCCATTTCAGTGGTTTTGATATTCCAGCTAGAAAACCCTCTTCGTCACCCGGGGTAATCCACAACCTAAAATTTTGCCTCATTCCACCACAGTTGTAGTGCAGAATATTATCATGATCTAACTTTGTTTCATGTAATAGCACAATAGCTGACCCGCAATTCTTTGCAAGTGTTTTAGTAAAACCACGTTTGTAAGCTACACTCCTAGACCCAAAATTAAAACGTTCCAGGACAAGATTCCAAAGGAGACGGTACAAAGAAGGGCAAAAAGGAAAATAGTGGCGCAAAAAAAAAAAAAAAAACATGATTAATGAAAGTTAAGCCAGTGAATCAGACACGGTTCGACTAATTTTATTTTATTTTTTCCCACAATAAACAGTAGTTTTAGTAGGGTCCAGTGCCTAAGGCATAAATACGATGTCAAAGAGTTACAAATCCAGGGGGCGTAAAATCTTCAAAACCACTCCGTTGGGTGCAAACCCTCCCTTGTAGAAACCCCCATCCACAATTCCAAAAAGAAATCTAAGAAGTTCCCTCTGCCACAAATCAAATTCTCAAAATGATTACAAATAAAAAAATGTTATAACTAAGGACGGTCATCCAAAGCAATAAAATCACAAAATCTAGAAAAAAAATTGAAATGGTAAATCTCATGTACACGAATCTAAGGCAGCAAGAAAAGGGGAGGCGGCCCAATGTTTCTGAAACCGCTAAACCCCTGCTCGAAAGTTTGTTGATTTGTCGAATCTATGTCTCCAGTTCAGATAGATAATGCGACGCAAATCCCTCTTGATCCTATAAAAAACTACTTGTGACGAAGGTCGATCATTTGGCAGTATCATTGTATTCCTCTGTCTCCATATGTGTGAAAACACTTTTCCTCTTATAGTTTCGCATACATAAGCTCGAGACTTTGAAAGATGATGCACTATTGTGCCAACAGAACTGTAGCAATCGACCATAAATCGCCCCATTCTTGAGGGAATGAGAGATTTTGATTTGATATGCACCCAAATGGTTTGAGCATTCATACAGGAAACCCAAATATGGTGTTGGTCTTCCACAAGGTCAAGGTAGAAACATGCTTTACAAAGGGGGCGCTTGCCTTCGATGGTGATACAAAAAGGCAGGAGTTGTGTTTGACTATTCTAAGAGCGATTAACAAATGTCTTAAACAATGAGCCTGTCTGCTTGCACAGTGTATCCAAGCT